CAAGTTTGTTTTTGTTTTTGTTTTTATTTTTATTTTTTATAATGGAAGTTCAGTCAGTAGAGTTGCCGAGAATTGAATGTCAACCGATAAAGGAACATTCATTCATGCTAAAATTAATAGAAAAAAGGGGAAAAATAATTTGATTTTTTTAAAATAATATGTTAAATTTAAATTTTATAAATGAAAAAATAAGTATTAAAAGAATTTTTTTGCATATGATATTTGATCCGATTTAATTTTGAGTTAATTAAAATTCAATTGTAATTTTTAAATAGTATGGTGTTAATTAGGAAAAAAAACCCAATGGGGAACAGTGCAGGCCTAGGAATGAGATCTTTCCCGAGCTAACAATGGAATTAAAGTATTCAACTCAAAACTAATTTTCAATAGACTGTATATTACATATTTAAAAAAAATTATTTTATAATTTAAATTATATTAAGTTATAAATAAAAATTACTACATGAGAGGATAATTTATAATATTAAAAAATTTATTTTAATTTAATAATTTAAATTATATAATTTAATTTAACTTATATACTACTTTCTCTTGTTTTTTCGTTTTTGATAAAATGTATATATAAAAATATCAATTTTTTATTTTTTATTTATAATTTATTTTAAAATAATAATCATTTTTTCATATATTAATGGAAATAAATATTTTTTTACTATTTTAATTTAATTGTTATTTTTTAACTTTAATTATTTATCCTATCATAAAAATCTATTTATTTTTATTTTTAGAGTAAAATAAATAAAAATAAAAAGTGTCTTCAAATTCTCAATTTAAAAATAAAAAAAATTACCCCCACTATTTTGAATCAAAGAGAGTAATATTTTTTGTTGATCACCCATATTTTTTTTGCCAATAAAATCTATATTTTTTAATTTTCTTATTGTAGCCCAATGTGGCATTTTGCATGTAAATAAATATCATTGGAGACGGGCTTGCTAAGTGTTGAGTCCACTGGGCTTCAACTTCAATATCTGGATTCTAGGTAGGCTGTCTAATTTACAAACCTATTTATAACTTGGGCTTCTTAAATTGGGAAAATCATTGGGCTAGTAATGCAGATGGACTGACTGATGGATTGATGATTTGACAAACCCACTGGCCTAATGGCAGCCGGCCCAATCAATTTTACACAGTCAAGTTTTATTTTATTTTATTTTTTATTTTTTGAACTTTAATAATATGATCAATTCAATCTGCTTTCGAGGGAATTATGTAACAATATCATTCGAATATTGAACTTGAAAAAAAAAAATGAAAATGTCAGGAGAAAGGAAAAATTACGGTCAAAAGTGGGTCAAGATAGAGTGACCCACATGGAAGAAGAGGCATTGTTTGTTGTGATTAAATGAGTACATGTGCATCCAACCCCATTTCTACACCAAACAAAAACAAGAAATGGTACGGCCTGAAAATGGTCTGGAGCTTTCAGGACTCAGGAGTCAATTTTTGGGCTGTACTGGGACAGACTGCAGCAAGAAACAGGACACTGAATGATTAGGAAGAGAGAGAACTCATCCAGGCTCGAGGAATCTAACAGGATTACACTGCACTGAATTTTACCCTCTGTTTTCAGCCATTTCCCCCTTGCTTTTCACCCATTTCTTTCTTTTGTCCCCTTCCTATTTTAGTTTCTTACACTACACCTGCGTTTTACATCTAATTTCTTCATCTCCATTGGTTTTCCTTCTGTAAAATATCTAGATATATCTTTTACCATTAAATGACAAAAAATGTGTTTGTTTCAAGTATGGGAGATTAAAATAATTGTTTTGAAACTTTACTGTTTTTCCATTGCTTGGCCCCTCGACTTTGAAGGAGGATGTTCGAACTATTTTTGAATCCTTACCTGACAGCTCAAACAAATCCACGATATAGAGGCTTGGGATTTACATAATCTAAGTGGAGGATGTAGAGATACATTATATTTTGTACGAGGGGCGTGAAAAAACATGCATTATGGTGGGTTCATAATTAAGTCGTTGTGGCAGGCAATATCAGCGCCCTTCTTGCAAGCGAAAAATGCTGGCTATAAATAATGAAATGGAGTCACATAAAGGGGTTGTAAAT